TGTCCTTTTTGGGTTTTTACAGTGTTTCCTGTTTTACAATGTAAGCATTAGATGCAAATTCCCATAGGGGCAGCGTTATGCTTGCAGGCTTGATTGTTTCTGTATAAACACTGACATGTTTCCATGTTCTGGAACACATGAGTCTTTGTGTGCAGAACTGTAGTGTTCTAAAAGTATTTATATGTCAGCACTCAGGATATATTGTGTCCTAGTTAAACTTATTATACATTTGTCAGAGATCAGCAGGAAAGATGTTTTCATAGCAGGACAAAGTGTGTGAGTGCGCCTTCTTTTGCGTGCTTCCATGACTGATTACAGACTTGTGTACACTTGTGTTTATGCTTGCCTACCTACTTGCATACATTGCATATATGCGTATGTGTGTGTGTGTGTGTGTGTTTCAAATTGAACTACTATGAAATGAGTGGATGCATGTATGTCTCTGTATATTATGTTTCTGTGCATATATTTTATTTGTGGACCTAAAGATTATTTTGAAAGATGTTTGTATGTAGTTTAATAAGTACATGGTATATATATATATATATATATATATATATATATATATATATATATATATATATATATATATATATATATATATATATATATATATATATATATATATATATATATATATATATATATATATATATATATATATATATATCGTGTTTGTATGTCTGAGCTGAAAGCATATTATTATTATTATTTTTAGTTAATAATTAATAGCCAGTTTGCAACGCAGTGATCCTTAAGACTGATGTAGTCTCGCTGGGAGATAATTTCACGCATTTTGAATTGATATTTAGTATGTAGAAGGTCTGGAGTGTGTCAGTACACCAAAAAACACCTTAAATATATATTTTCATTAAGAAAGCAGGCAAAGAGCTATTAGTTTTACAGCGGACATACGCTGTTATATTCTGGATAAAATTCTACATTATGGGCTTGGCTTTATCACAGCATCCTTCAGATGGACGCTAGGCTGATGATGTGCTCCTTGTAAGTTATGTTTCTATGTGCCAGAGACCCTAGTACAGTGCCACACATGTACCAGTCGCTACTCTGCAGTGGTCACCAAAAAGGTCTGAGTCAAAATAAGGGTTCTGATTTTTGCATTACATACTTGTGTGACAGTAGCTGTTACAAATTCAACAGTAAACCTTGTACCCTTGTTTTTGATGCAGTGTCAGTTCTTGTGCTTGAGACTCTGATGCAGTGCCAATCTTGGCCAGGCCTACAATGCAGTGCCATATCTTAGACCAATGGCTCTGATACGACGTCGGTTCATTAACCAGTAGCCAACGATACAATGGTACCTATTAAACATGGGACCTTTATCCAGTGCCAACTTTCGTGCCAAGGGCTCTGAGGCAGTGCCAACTCTATACCAGTGTCACAGAGGCAGTGGTAATTCCTATGCGGTGCTAACTCCTATAACAGGTTCTGATAGAGTGCCAACCCTTGTGTCAGAGGCCTTGGTTCAGTGCCAACCCTTGTGTCAGAGGTTTTGGTCCAGTGCCAGCCCTTGTGTCAGAGGCTTTGGATCAGTGCCAACCCTTGTGTCAGAGGCTTTGGTTCAGTGCCAACCCTTGTGGCAGTGATTTTGGACCAGTTTTAATTATTTTGTCAGAGGCTTTGGTCCGGTACCAACCCTTGTGTCAGAGTCTCTCGTCTAGTGCCAATCTTTGTGTCAAGAGAGATTCATTGCTAATATTGTGTCAGAAGTTTTTTATCAGTGACTTCTCTAGTGGCAACCGTTGTTTCAGAGACATGCAAATGCCAACCGTTGTGTCAGTAGCGAGCCAATGCCAATGATGTATTAGAGGCTTTGGTTTAATGCCAAACCTTGTCAGGTTTTGGTCTAGTACTAACACTTGTGTCACAGGCCAACCTTTATGTCAGGTGATCAGAGTAGTGCCAGACCTTGTGTCATATGATCAAAATACTGCCAGCTTTTGTGATTGGCTAGTTTTTCTCATATCAAAACATCTGATGTTGTGGCAACACTTACACCAGTGAGTGTTGCAATATCACATCCTGATGTTAGGAAGTCATGTACCGCAGACTTTAATGCGCTGTTATAGCTCCTTCATAAAATCAACTTGTGTGCCAAGGTCTCTGAATCACTTCCAACATCTATATCATTAGCTCTAATATAGTGTAAATTCTTTCCCAAGAATCTTTGATGTAATGTTAGTGCCAGCTTAATGCCAAGTACTCCGTTGGCGCTGACCAGTGTCAGAGGCTTGATGTAGTGTCAAATCTCTTATTTTTTCCCAACAAATTTGCCGGCAGTCATGGGGAAGGAAAGTTGAATGCTTCTGTCACATTATAGTTGTTGTAAAATGTGCTATAGGTCCAAGGTTTTTATAAAGTGTGTTTTGGTTTTGTCTAAATCTTGAAGTAGAAGTATCAACCTCAACATCTTAGTGGTATTTAAGCTTGTAAGACACTTCAGTTAAGTGCATTTCCTGCTTAAATATAAGAATATGACTGTAAAATAACTGTTGATTTTGTGGCTATTTACCGAATTCATTAAGCTGTTCAGGTGACGAGGTAGAGAAGTAAACCTTGATTAAGTTACAATGTTTGGGTGAAAATGCTACCGTTTATAGGTATTTTTGGCAAACTTTTATTGTACAGTTATAAAATCATATATTTTATTTAAAGATAACACCTAGGTTTTTTATTTATTTTAGAATTATTTTTCAGATTCATATAAATATTATTGTTTTAAAGATATAACTCACACACACACACACACACACATATATATATATATATATATATATATATATATATATATATATATATATATATATATATATATATATATATATATATATATATATATATATATATATATATATATATATATATATATATATTTTGATCGCTTCACATAGCTGTTAGTTTGAGTGATGCACGCTTACACATGAATGAATTAGAAATGTACAAACTTTGTTCTGCAATGAAACGACTGCACAAAAACTACTTAAGGCAAATGTTGGTGCTTGAAATTGTTGTGCTTTATGTCATAATAAAAAAAATGAAGTCTTGTAATGAAAATATTATAGAGAGAAATAACTTGTTTCTGGCAGTGTAGTCATGTGAACTGTTCACCCCCAGCATATATACTGACTTTTTTATGTACAGTAAAATGAAATGATGGACAATGCAGTTATGTCTAAAATGCTAAACTGCACTTAGCTAAACTTCTCGGCTGCATAACTGTGCACAGCTCGCGCTCACTTACACTTACTTGCTTCGCTCTTTGAGGGCCTTTACTCTTAAGAGGGCAAAAATCGTTGTTTACTAGTTTTACTCTATACATAGAAGCTAACATCATGTGAAGAAAAATGGCAATAAACGATCAGCTGTAACTCCTCTTATCAGTTGTATTACGTGTTATTAAGATAAGACTTTGAGTAAAGATCAGCTTTTATCAACTCAGTAATGATATAATGACCTCATAGAGTTGAGTTTAAAAAGGTCCAACCATAAATTCTATTATTTTCTTGAGGTTAAGTAGGAAATCACTCTAATGCATCTCCAGCTAAGGTGTTCAGTTGCTGCTCATGTCCCAGAAGTAGAGGTCAATTGTAGGTGTGTCTGGATGCTATTTAGATACTTTTGAACGTAGTTGTTAATAGTATGGTACACTTTCCAGGACTAGTAATTATTTTTACATATATTTTTATCCTTAATCAAGAACACAGATAATGGAGGAGCTCTATAAAAATTTATCCATTGTGAACTTTTGTTTTAAATGGGAAGTTCATCAACTCTAACTGCCCATCCAATAGTTAATATGATAATAAATAAATTCAATTCTTCATTAAAATTTTATGAATCCTGTTGTAATCCGGATTAAATTTCAAAATTCTTTCATGATCAAATATATTCATTAACAATTACAAGCTACATTACATGCTCCTACATTAGACGCAAAAGGGAACTGCAAGTTTGAGTCCACAATATTTAAATTATAAGATACAGTAATGACAAATACGCAAACGGACTAAGAGTAGCAACAGTTACAGGCTAGTCTTTAAAAAATCATTATAATCCCTTGCAGCCACTCAACCATTTGCTTAATAATATTCATTATATAATATCTCTTATAAGCATAAAGCAGACAGCTTGACAATAAGTGTATGGAGAATAGAGTTGGTGGCGTGCAGTGATGTCCACCTGCCTGGTTCCTGGAAGGTGATGCCAACACTTAGGACCACAAAGCCCGTGGTCGACAGGCTCTGGCTAAAGCCCTCTTTCTTGTTGCTTCCTCTCACTTGCCGTCTGATGTTGGTTGTCGAGAGACCCGAAACAAGCGACCTGATGTGACCCCAATGGCCCATGATTCACCTCAGCTTCGCTAACTTAGGTAATTTTTGTCCAAGACTTTCCACCAAGAAGCCGACATTCTGGGGCAGTCACTACAGCTGATACTGTTTCCCTGTTTTTTTAACGCTATTCATATATTTATTTATGTTTTATTGTGATCTACTGAAACATGTGAAACAGCTTTGTGTCAAGGCTTCTGGCATTCCTGGAACCACGAGTTAGATATTCTACGTAGACTTACATACTATCATTGTAACAAGCCAATTTTATATAAAAATACATTTAATCAAATTAAATTAATTTAATGGGTACAAAACTGCCATGAGACTCTTATCCCCTTTTCATATTCATCATATGAAATTCATCGTTTCATTCATTGTTTCTGCCCATATTTAGATATCAGTTTGTAGCCCCAACATGTCGGCAACCCCTTGGATTCCTTTGCCTGTGATCCATACTTTACTGTCTTGTCTGTAGTTGAGCATGTGGATGGTTGGTGTGTCACGTATGAGGCCACTGCCCGTGATCTGGGCCATGGAAAGGTTTGTGCCAGTGCCTGTAGCCATCACAAGCTTGAGGTTGTAGTCACTATAAACTATACACTAATAAATTATCTTGCCAAATAACTAATAGTAGTGTCGTATTTTCAGGTACACAAAGCTGTAGCTACATCCCCTATCCAGGAAGGTACTCATGAGAGACGGCCAGCCCACCACCACACTCACCCTCCCAGCCAGAGTCCTGGTGGCAAGGCAGCCCAACCAGGGGCTCAGGCGGCTGCTGTACAACACCCAAAAGGTAGTTCTCATGTACGCTTCCAGACTCAGACTCAGACTGAATACCGGACGCCCAACTTGGAAAAACCGAGGGAAAGGCCGGATCAAGATAGTTCAGAGTCTGAAACAGAAAATACAACCAACGACGAGGAGGCACACACAACCGAGAAGTTCCTCTTGCTCACTGATCAGCTTTCCGTCGACACTAAGAAGCACCTCTCTATCAAGGACATTGGGGTCATCCTTGATCGACTATCTTCCAAAATAGTTGATGTTGAGAAATTAGATCGTGAAGCAGAAGAGGAAGATTGTTTTAACTGGACAATCAAAGCTACAATCCGAGGCGATACTCTAAGAGAACTCGGTGTGGTATATAATGGCCACTATTATTCTATTAGTGAACACCCAGGCTACGGTCAGAAGAAAGAGGAGGAGGAGGAGGAGGAAGTAGCAGAAGCCAAAGACGCAGAAAAGGAACCCGTCTGACTGTTTACACTGTGTTCGTTGGACAAACTTATTTTTTTGGTTTGTTGGTGATAATGCCAGGCTTAGGAATGCAGTAATCGACAAAATGTGTTTGTTTTTTGTCGAAGAGTAATGCTGTTGACATAAACAGGGTGCGAGTGTTATGTGCAGAATGTATGGAACGTTAGAATAGTGTTAAGTGATTGAGTGAAACTTTTCAAGAGTTCCCTCACTTGCAACAACCGTGGCCTGTCACCCTCGGATGTCCGCAGCAGTGCCGCCACAGCCACAAGGCGTCTGCTCTTGTTTCTAGTGTACATAGGCGGGAGGAGGCACCGCGACCACCGATGCCGCGTGACAGGTGCTGGCTGTCTCCCCAGTGTCCTGCCAGGTGAGATATATTACGTATTGCCACTTACTGGTGTTCAGCACTGGATAATACTCTGCCTCAAGTGGAAAGAGTCAAGCTTTGTCAACTCGGTGCCTCACACAGCATTTATCCCCATCTATCCACGCTTCCTCCCAAGTGGTCATGCTAATTATCCATTTCCCTTTCACGTAACTTCCATATGTTGTGTATAATTCGTACTGCTTATTAAATCATCTATTGCCCAGTCTTGTACTTGGTAAACCATCTATTGCCCAGTGCTGTACCTTGTAAGCCATTTATTGCTCACAACTGTACCTCGTAAGGCCATCATTGCCCAGTACCTTTCTTAGTAAGCCATATAGTCCCCAGTGTTGTACAGTTGCGGAAATGTTCCTACGCCCCCTCTGGTAACCCGTGTCTCCAAACAACAACGTCACTGTAGTAGCATCACTATTTATGAATGAATAGGTATTGGTCGTGTAACGACGGACGTGATTGGTGGATAGGTTGGCCGCCTGGAGACACAGGTTACCACAGGGGTGTAGGAACACGTTTCCGTAACTGTACCTCGAAAACCATATATTGCCCATTAGTGTACAATTGGCTCCACTCCCACTTTTACCACTTAGCGTTGCCAATCCTCTCTCTCCCTGAGGTGGGAACTTTGAACTCTGAAGTGTGAATTCGAAAGTGCACATGAGTTGAGAGAGATTACAATGCAAAATAACACTTTGACATTACCAACGGGGTTTCTCCAGCTGAGTGTAATCGTCTAGTGCTAGCCAGATGATAATACTGAAGTTACAGTGGGATGAGAGGGGGATGAATTTATGTTCTAAGGTGTTACTTTGCAAAAGGGGGCATTTATGATCAAATGGATACTGGATATGTTTGAATACAGTATATATTTTGTAGAAGCCGCGAAGTTTTGTTTAACCCTTTGACTACGAAATGAAACTTCCCCAGCTGAATAAAATCGTTTGGCGGTATCCAGAATAAAATAGATAAGAAGACATCGTACTGAAGGGATAAATTAGCAATCAAATCAATCTTGAAGTGGGAACCACACACACACACACACACAAACACCTACAGTGTTTGCAGATGTAGTATTGAAAGAATTATGTAGTTATGACCCAGCACATTATCTTAGGTAGAAGATTCTAGATATTATTCCCTTCGTAAGAACACTGGTATATTTCTGATATATTATGTATTTGATATTTAATAATGTACCACTCTAAACTCTTCAACTTCACCTTTTTTCTTCCTGCCAGCATCAAAAGAAATTAAACTGCCCTATTATGTTATTGGTCTCCTTTGATTTACTTAAATGTTTTCTGTGTGTCATCATTATTATGGCAACATAACAACTTGCTACTGACATGCTTGTCTCTTCTCTCCCAGGGCCTATCACGCTTGTATTTAGAAGACAATCGTCGAGCTACCCTGCAGGCAGGCATTAGCGTAGCTTCTGACCATCGCACGTCACTTGTTACATGGACACTAAGGCGAAAAGTATGAGATAACCCTCAAGTGAAGTGTTCACCACCCAGCCCAACAGAATCCTTGTTGATACTAAGGCAGCCATGCCGGGCCAGAGTGTGTCTACTTGAGGAACTGATACTGTTTCTGGGTCCGGGCAAGACTTACTATGATTGTGTCCCATTGTAGGTGGTGTGCCGGCCCGGCGGACCTTCCCTACCTACAAGCCCACATTATGAGACTGGACAAGATTTGATGCAAATAATATACGTGGCAGTAATACATCCATCCTTTTATGGATTACAAACAACCAAACTGAAGATATTTCTAGAACTCAAGTTTATACAACCAAATTTAAAAAGCCTATATTTTAATTCAGTAAATGGACCTTCGATAAGTGGTTTACACTTGTGCCAGGCTGACACAGCAATGGAAAGGTGTTATGTGGTGAGGTGAATGCAGAATGATATGCTCAAAACCAATGTGTAATGAAGACTGTCGCTAAGAATTTCTTTGAAGTTCTTGATAATAATACTCTTGATAATAAATAACATAAACAGATGTGACATCAGTTTTTAAATAGAGTGAAAATGTTTCTATTATTACACTCAATGATGACAACAAAGACAGAGGCCAGGAGGTGGTGGTGGTCTTCTCTGCGCCTGTGACCATCATGAGAGTATTTGTGTCCCTATCAGAGACTCTGAGCCTTATTTACAACCCCAATAATATCCCATTTGCCATATGTTGTGAATAAAAAAAAATGTTGGGATGTGTCAAATACGGTTCAGAGTAATTGGTGGAGGTCTTGTTTTGTTTTAGAACTCAAGGAACGTGGCATTCGGTCTGTAGTAGATCTGGGGTGTCTTGGTGCCCATCGCAAGCGCTGTGCCTTCCAATCATGTACACTGAAAGCAATTTTGTTTCCTTAGATGAGGAACTGCGCTTGGATGAAGTAATGTCGGTACGCCTGTGCATAATTTTTGGTGCAAGTTTTGTGCATCTGTGGAGCGATTAGGGATTGTGGGCCTTTGTGGGCTGTTCAAAAAGGCTGATCATTGTCCCTGAGTATTGTGAACATTTTAATAAGGACATTTACTGAGTGAAACGGTAAATTTGTGACTTGTGTAGGTGATAGAATGAGGCAGAATTGCTGCCTTGGTGGCATTGCAATACAATTAATATTTGGCCTCCATCGATACCGACCAGGGCTCACATCTGACTACAATAAGCAAATTCAAAAGACAAATCTTGGGTGTTTCGAGGAAACAGACGTATTACTCTTGATATGTCATTTTGATATGGATGATGTTATAGTCTCATTTGGTAATGCTATTTGTCTAAGGTTCGGCCTTATTGGGTATTTCAGTTTAAATAAAGGCTGAAGGGTTGATTAGAGCCTTCATGGATAACTCCATTTGGTTTAATCTCTGCTAATTCATAAGAAAAAAGTATTTAAATCCCACATAAGGAATACACTCACTGACAACTCCACAAAAAAAAAATTGTTGGCCCCGTAGGCTTCACCGCACCTGCCGGAGAAGCCCTCAGAGAAAAAAAAATAGATTTATATATATATATATATATATATATATATATATATATATATATATATATATATATATATATATATATATATATATATATATATATATATATATATATATATATATATATATATATACACAAACAGTAACAAAACCGAGAGATAAACTTGGACTTTAGCAGACCTTGAGCAGTGATCTGTACTGGCAATACTTGATTATGGTCAGTTCGGATTTTTTTATTTGTTTGGAGGAGCTGCGGTGTTACTCTTATTGTTAATACATCTCGTCGCCAAGAAAAAAAATGCACAGTGGTCTTGATCAAAGATAATATATCAAATATAGTATGAATAATTTAGGGAAAATTGTAGGATCCTTAGAATTGTTAGGACGGTATTTTAAGATATCATTTCCATATTTGTATGTCGAAGTAACTTGCAAGCATTTGGTTTGCCGTCTGCTTTCAATAATGAAGAGCAACCCCGTTGTTCTAGACTCCAATAATCGCTTTTGTTACTTGGCAAAACAAATGTTAGCAGGAGTTTCTTAGAATGGTTAAAGTCTGGTTATCAATATATAAACACAAATACAATAGTGTCAATATTTATTGTTGGTAATATTACGCCATTTTAACAACGCACAGCAGATATTCATATGGTCCGGTTTGTGTCGAATCTTTCATTCCTGGCTACTTTTCCGTCACTGCTCCGGTTTCTCCCTTTAAAAAGATGTTGTGACTTAGGTTTAGAAATGTCTTTACTATGTTCCCAATTTCACAGTAATATCGCAATGCCTATTATATTATTTAATGTTTAATGACGTGGTTGTTCAGCTTAGTACTCTAGCTCTGACGATCAAGTAGTGAAGCCCTCGCTCGAGCAAAGACAGTTTCTATGTCTCTCCATTAATACGGGTCAAAACGCACAATATCACACACACGCTACTTTGCGTTTAGTTTAGCTTCTCGTGTTGCGTTCTCGGGAGGAGAAGGAGGAGGAGGAGATGAAAAGATGATGATGATGATGATGATGATGATGGTGATGATGATGCAGGAGGAGAAGGAGGAGGAGTGTCCCGCTTCGTACTGCCCTTCATGTGATGATGGCCCCAATTCTTGACCACAGGTGAGTTTAAAGCTCTCCACTGGCCAGGCAATTTGCGATGCTCACAGAAACCTTGGCCAGTCAGTCAATAATAACCAATTGGTAATGCAGTAGTGTTATGGCATATATTCTCAAGAGCTGGTTGAGAGTTGGGTCCAAATAAGCCACGGCGTAGGGCCTGATTCGTCGTCGTCGTCTCGCGTCACTGGTGCTCATGAGCTGCTCTTTGTACGGAGGCAGAAACTGACTCTTCTCGAGACTAATGCGGCTTTGTTTTGGACTAGTTAGGATGAATGCGCTGTATTGCTCTCTCTTTAGACAAAATGTTGCGCGGCCGGCGTCTGTGAGCCTCGGTGTGTTAGCTTCTGTTTTGACTGGGAGAACTGGCCTTGTGGAAGAGTTGTTCGAGGCTGACAAACGCTGGCTGCACACAAGACACCTGCGTCACACATTTTGGTGCCATGGTGTGGCTGCCGCAAGCTTTGTTCTTCATTGAGGTTGTTCTCAATAATTTATTGAATGAAGCGTTTATTGTTATTTTAGCCCATTTCACTGTGTTCCGCCAGAAAGTCGGTGTACGTGGTCTAGGCTCTGTCATTCCCCTTGGTTAGTGTCTGTGCTTATGCATGAGTACATGAAGTAACCTTCTCTCTTCATTGGACAGTTATGCATAGTTTTGAATATAATTAATCAAAGACGATCTTTAGGGTGGACAGTTCATTTGACATCTTTGTAAGCAGCGTTCAGGGGCTGACATGCAGCCCCCGGCGAGAGAAATGTTGTATAGTTGTTGTTGGAGTGATAATCATCTTGGAATTTGGTTTGAAACAATGTATAATTTTTGTAGACTATCTAGTGGTCACAACCTTTTCTGTGATTGTACATGTAATTCCAGGTCAACAACAGTTTAATGACCTTATTATGTGGTCTTAAACAGTCATTGCACTTGTAATATACTTGCAGATGCAGGTTTTTTAACCACCACAGACAATAATTAGTACATCACAATAACCAACATGTGACCATAGATTAAAATAAAGACTACCACAATCTCAACAGAATACAAGAGATTTCCACATGGTAAAGTGACCATTACGTACTACTAGAATAAAGGCTATTATTGTGCTACAACACGCTCACACTGCCAGGGCGGGCCTTGGGGACGTGGGCGGTTCCTGGAATCCCTCCCCCATCCCCCCCAAGTCCCACCACCCTTTGACACGGGTCACATCCTGCGTGTCCACTTGATATGGAAGTAAAGAGGTCAGACATCACCAGTGCGTCTTAATTCTCACCTTGTGTGTCCTTATTATTGCCTATTGTCTATGTATACTCCTGCATTTACAGCCACGGTCAGGATGCTGCTTAGAACAAACTCCCACCATCTTCACAGCAGTACAACCGTGTGGAGGACTACAAACTTGTACATAATGTACACAAACTGGTAAGATATGAATAAAGTAATGGTTTCTGATATGACAAATAGAGGTTAATGTCAGGTGGCTCTTCCTGGATGCATTGTACCGAGGGATCACTGTAACACAGACATAATAGAGCTGACGAAAAATAAACTATTTTTCGTAGTCGTCGTTAATCTTGAACTTATAAATATGGTTAACCTTACAATGAAATACCAGAAGTGGCAACGCAATTTATAATATATCATCAAAAGTAATCCATCGTGTTAATATACAATACGAGTAAAAATATTAATTTGTCATTTTATTTTAGTGGGAGTAACAAGTTATGTCATGAATTGATTTAATAGGTGGAAGGGAAACACACGGATTAGGTGAGTTTATTCCTCTAACGTTTCGAGCTACATAGAGCCCATCTTCAGAAAGAATCAACAGGAATAAAGGAAGTCAGCTCAGCCCTGTGTTTCCCTCCTACCCATCATTAATCCACTTGTTGTCATGAATCGATCATTTATGTCATGAATGCTAAGTGCTTTAAAAAGTTTCCTTTAAACTCCTGTCTTTACTGAAACATTCATAACACTTCAACACAAAAGATCTTTCTTGGCTTTAAAGGGGAAGGTACAGCAGAATTTTATGTAACCCAAATGTTTACATACACGAAGTTTATTGAGGAACATTTGTTAAAACATTGACAAATAATAGGTTGTTTTGGTATATGCATTGATGAGTAAAACATTTGATGTTGGAAAAAAGTTTACATACAATATTTTTAGTGTTTTCTAAAAGTGTTCTTAAGAGATGCAGTATAATTAATTAAAAACGTGATTATTTTGATAGTCTTCAGACCGATAATTGTAAGTCATAGAACTAATAGTATTGTTGCTTTGAAAATCGATGTACTGTACAGTCACCCACAAAAGTCTTGTCGCCTCTCCTGATCCACGAACCCCAAAATTCAGATTCATGGATTCGAATCATTTATGGATAGAAGAATGCGTCAGTGTCTACTGCTTCGGGTTCACGAGTCTGACTCTTGGAATTCATGGAACAGCAGAGGAAGCAACAGGAGTTTTGTGGGTGACTGGATGTTCCAGTGGCGGTAAATTACATACACTATCCCACTGATGAAATTGAAATTGTTTGTTATTAAGTAAAACTTCATGAGAGATACTTTAAAAGTACTTCATATATATTTATAGGGTAAGTTGTTTAACCAATGTGGTGTAAGGTGACAAAAAATAATTCTGAAGGTATTTGGCAACCATTCGTTCTATATTAAAAAAACGCAGAGAAGTTTAGAAGAACCGATGATATCTACATAATTATTTAATTGGCCTGAGATTCACTGGGCTTCCATTTGCGGTTAGGCTTGTGTATTTTTGACTCAAGTTAGGAAGCATATAAACCAAACCTAACGTAACAAAACTCTACTGGATCTCATGCAACCGAAGCAATAACCCAAGACCGTTAGGCTAAATTAGAATGATGTTTCATGAATTTATTCTTGTCATTGGTTATGTGTAAGATAATATTTTGTTAAATAACTTTATTAAGCAGACTCAACACTACTCAACAATTACAGTTTTCATTTTGAAATTTCTCCAGTGAATTAGTTCTCTTCTTGGGTATGCATTTCTTTACAATTTGGATGAACTTGCTTCTATCTCTCTTAATGGACGTACTGTTAGTACATTTATTTCTTGCAGCAATGTCAAAATAAATTACTTGCAAGATGCAAGGGAGATTAACTACGGATTCTCCAGATATAAAGGGCTTCGACGGGGCAAGGGTGTTAGTGATTGATCATATTTAGCCAGAAAAACACAGGTACAAAGTGAACAATAACAACATTGGCATGGCTGAGGGCACATGCAATGTTTCAGTAATCCAATTTCACACTTAAAAGTATTCCCTAGTGTTGGAATGCCGGAACACAATAACAAATGACGTTTACACAGTTATCTTAAATGCATAATAAAAACGTACTTGATCTAGTCTCAATTTCGAACCATTGTAATCTTTCTCTAAATAAATTCACTATTATAACAAAAGAAAATTGACTTATGAAAACCGCCAACAGTTGACGAACAGCGCGATAAAGGGGAAAATTTGCAACTTTTGCCTCGACATTATTCGGTATAGTAAGGAATATCATCCCTCTATTTTCGAGATGTCAAAAGTTTATTCAAGCTCCACGTATAGGCAGCGTAGCTAAAGTATTCCATTGGTCGCATAATTAAGCAGTAATGTTCTTTTATTTATTTTTTTTAGATATTTATTTAAAATTACAAACGGAATTAATATATAAAGGGCTGAAGAAAAATATTAATTATGTCCATCATATTTTATTGTTACCAACAACAAACATAAATCATAGACAAACAGCGTATTAAAAGTTAGTTTTCAAAAGCCATTCCATCTCGATCATTATTCTGAACTAAGGCAGACATGCAAATCGGAGAGCACTCTGAAGCACATACAATTTCATGAAAGAACAAGCAAGCTGTACGTCTGAAGAGCTATCACAAGGACGGGTCAGAGCCGTAGAAAGAGTTAGGGGCAACCGGACGCCATCTTCTTACTCAGCTGATGGGAAGTCATCTCGGGCTCTCCCAGTCCCACATACTTTATAAACATGTTTTTCCAATTTTAAACGCCTATGACAATTTTACTGAGTAAACAACATCATCATCATCCTGTACAGTACGAGTGCAAACTTCTTCATCAGCTCAGTAACAACATGGAGCCCGGTTGGCCGAACTCTATCTACGTTCTGGGACGGGTGGATTTACAGATTGCCCCGGAGGGGGCTAGTTTATTGGGCACCCCCTTACATCCTGTGCAAGGTGAAGCGCAGAAGCGTTTACAGCGCCCATCTGGGAAGCATGCTAAGTTCATGCTTGCCTTTATGACTCATGCATTAAGGGCGTGGAAGCCTGAAGGGTCATGGGTTTTGTCAGCAAGTTACATAAAGTGACAGAATGATGAGTGTGTGGGGGGAGGAAATTCCCGGTACATTTCATCTGTTTATAGCAAAGCGTGGCAGGTCCCTAATAATGTCAAGTGCCAGGCCTGTCACTAGGAGGAGGGATATCTGGTCAGGGAGGGAAGAGGTGTTGGTAACGGCTGGGGACCTGTAGGAGGAGGTCATAGGGCAAGTGAGGATGTAGTGAGAGAGGGTGTGAGAGTCGGGTTGGCCACAAAGTTTACAAACAGTGTGGCCAGGCTCAGGGTTGCCAATGTACTCCCATAGGTACCTGTACCCTAGGCGCAGTCTCATGTATATAATCTGTTGAGATCGAGTCAGAGATTGATACTCTTTGTAGTGGCGGTTGGAGTCACCGGTTACAGCGTCATAGTGGCATAGTGTGACGCTGCCCCGTTGTTTCAGGTGTGTCCATTTTACGTCGAATGCTTCTCGTTGTGTGGCGTGTATGCGAGATTTGAGATGATTCAGGGAGAGGGCGAGGGTGGCTTCAATATCTTCTTCTTGTGTCGCTTCTTTGGCAAGTCGATCAACAGTGTCACAGGCAGTTATTCCTATATGTGACGGGATCCAAATACACTTGACACGGATGTCATCAGTTTGTTCTAGATTGGCGACGGCGGCTAGGGTGTGTTGGGCGGCAGGGGAGGAGGGGGAGGGTAATTTGAGCCTAGCTAGCGCAGAAGTGCTGTCACTGATTATCAGGAGGTTCCGGCGTTCAGTGCGAGCATAGGTCGCCCCCTCATGAATGCCCGCGAGGATGGCTATGCTTTCAATGTCAGTGGAGGAGGCCCAGTCGTGGACCCTGATTTTCTTGCGGGCCTGGCGCTCAGGAATCCATACAGCTGCCCCAGCGCAGCCCAGCGTGGTGACAGACTCATCACAGTAGAAGAGCATAGGAGGGAGGGAGGTCGTAAGAGAAGAGGCGACATCATCAATCTGCTCAAGGCAGTTAAGTTTGAGCATATACCGCAGTTGGGTGGATTTACGACCAGGGAAGGTGTGGACGACAACATCAACACACGGGGAGGTCCACGGCGGTAGAGGTGGATGAGTGTACTCGGGAGGGAGAGAGGTCGAGGGGGTGTAGAGGTGATAACGCAGGATGTCAGCAGCAGTGTGGACGGGCCAGTGTTGAGAGAGGGAGGGAGAGGTAATGGGGGCAGGCCGGCGCAGGAGGGAGTCAAGATGTAAGTTCAGTGAGCGAGACAGGGGAGTCGCTTTCTCACTGCGAAGGAGTTTAACACCTAGGATGGCATTGAGAGCAGTAATTCGATCGCAGACTGGAAGCAGGATCAGTTCACGCTGCATGACTTCTATTCTGGTGGTCGTAGGGCAGCCGAGGATGAGTCTCATCACTCTGTTTTGGATTTTCTCTATGCTTTGTTTCTTGCGTTGGGAGGCAACTACAAGGACAGGGGAGGCATAATCTATGACAGCTCTGACGATAGCAATGTACATGAGGCGTAGGACCCTGACAGAGGCTCCTTTGAGGCCGTGGGTAAGGGACTGGAGATGACGTGGGCGGTGACAGCAGAGGTGGTGGCGCTGGTAGTGGCTCGCACGGGTAGACCAAGGTACCTGTAGGTGCTTACTTGATCGATGTCTTGTCCTTGCAGAGTCAGCGGAGTCTGACGCCGGAAGTGTGAGATGAACTTGGTTTTAGTGTGTGAGATGACTAGCCCGAGTGTTTGACAGGTCCGGGCGAACGTGGAGAGTATAGGTTGTTCATGTTGCACTGTAGTAATTTGGAGGAGAATATCATCAGCGTAGCTTATGATGTGACCGTCTAGGGCGCGCTCAGCAAAGATGTCGTTGAGGCGGCAGATGGAGTTCATGAGTACATTAAAGAGTGTGGGCCTGTCGA